CTGTCCCGCTGGGGGCAGCCCCACCTGTGGAAGCTGTCCACCATCTTCAGCTGGCCACGGAGCTCCTTCTTGTTGAGGTGGTCCAACATGCGGGCGTCCACCAGCGACTCCATGAAGTAGCTGCGGTACTGGGGCAGCCCCAGGCTGGGCAGCCAGTCGTTGCCCACCCACTCGTGGTTCATGTCGCCATACGCCAGGATCTGGGGCCATGGGCAGGTGGGGGGGGCGGTCAGGCCCTCGAACCCCTTCCCATGTATGTATGCAAGGGGACAGTCTACCCCCCAACCCAAGGTCATGCTTTTCCACCCCAGAGCCGGACAGTGGACCGATCCAATGGTGTCCCCTGTTCCGTCAGAAGGACAGGACAGAGCCGTGTCTACTCAAGTGTAGTCCTTGGACCCACAGCATCACTAGCGCCTGCGAATTTGCTGGGATTGCAGACTCTCAGGCCCAGGCTCCTGACTGAATCAGAACCTGCGTTCTCACAAGATCCTCAGGTGACGTCAGCTGTACATCACAGGCTGAGAAGCAGTGGTCTAGCATGGCCCCAACTCAGAACAGCTCAGTCCAACCTCACTCCGCCCCCGAGTCAACATAATGGATTCTCCCAGCACAGCGCTCCCCACAGCAGAGTCATGGAGTCACCCAGCACCCTGGCACTATCCCAAAAATACTAGTTCAATGCTGGACCCGGCCCATACTTTCGCCCGTGCAGTACCCCTCAAACCGGTTCTCTCTTCTCTCCCACAGGAAGCTACGTCGACTATTTCTCCTCGTCCCTGTACCAGTGAGTGTGTGGCGGGGGGAGTGTGAGGGCCCCGGTTAGAGACGGCCCTGGGCTGCAGGTCCCCTGGGTCACATGAATGGGAAGGTGAACGACCTCTCCGCGCCCTCGGGTGAGCTTGGGGCACGTCGGTGGGTGGTCTAACCATTGCGCCCTCCTCTCCAGGGCCCTGGCGGACATGCTGGAAACTCCGGAACCCTAACCCGGCCGCGCGGCTGCGGCGCAGACGTCCCTCCCTGCCCCTCCAGCCCCTCCCCACGAGCCATATTTATTTCTCTGAATAAACGTGACCCCCCAAAACCTCATTGTCAGGCGTAGGGTCTGGCTTCCCGGGGCACCGAGGGACTCGGGACTCGTGGGTCAGAGGACGCGGAGCCCGTGCTTTCGGGGCCTCGGGGTGGGTGGTCGGTTGCAGGTCCTGATAAATAAATCAGTCGACACGGGCGCGTTTTGAAACAGTTCTCTTTACCCGTGATCACTGAGTGACGCCTGAGGCAGGGAGGCCGACAAGAGTCCGGGGCGAGGGCTTCCCACCGTCCGCCCGCCCCCCCACGGCACATCGCCCAGTGGCACCGTGGAAAGAGGATGCTCCCATGGGACACGAGACACTGGGGAGAGGGACCCCGCCCACAGCTGACCTCCGGCCACCGGGCACCGGAGGAGGCGGGCGGGGCTGAGTGGCACTGGGGGCGAGGCTTGTAGCAGCGAGTCCCCCCTCCCCTCCTTTCGGACGGAGAAGGAAGACTTGGGCCCCGCGACCGGGGAGAAAGGGGAGGGGGCGGCCTGTCCTCGCATGCGGCCCGGGAGGGCAGCCCCGCCCCCTCCCCGTGGGGAATGGGCACCCGTCTCCCGTCGGAAACTGATCAATAAATTACAAAGTGGAGACGGGGGAGATGGAAGTTTGGGGGCGGGATTTCTTCCTGCCCTCTCCTTTCCCTCCCCCCTCGGTCCAGTTCATGTGGTTTGGTCCAGGCCCCGTCCATGTGTGAGGCGGGGACGCGCGCTCCCCTCCAGTCTGTGCAGATGGTCCAGGCGGCGGCGCGCGCTCCCCGGCGAGACCACACTGGGCAGGAGGGGAGGCAGCCCGGCCTCCGGGAGATTCTTCATCCGCGTGAGGTCGCCTACACCGACGCCGGCAGCGCGTGGAGCAGTGAAGAGCCATGATGCTGCCCCAGACCCCCAGGATCGCCCAGCACAGTCCTCACCTGGAGGCCTGCACTAGCAGGAATAGGTCCGGACCGAGACGCCGTCTGCCCGGGAATTCCCAGAAGTCTGGCCTGGAGGGAGAGCGAGCAGCGGTTCAGCGCGCGCGCACCCACACCCACACGCGCGCACCCACACCCACACGCGCGCGCACGCCCTGTCCTCCCCAGGGTTTCTCCGATCCTCAGCCCCAAGCTTCCTTCCTGGGAATTCCCCTTCGGGAATGACATCCAGCCCGAATCCTCGCCGGTTTCCCTCCCTTTCCCGCAGGTTCGTCCAAGGTGCCCCAGATGACACAGGGCGAGCGCACTTCCCACCCTGGAAAGAGGGTGCGAGAGCAATCCCTTCCACGCCCGGAGGAGAGAGTTGGCATATTAGAGCGGCCCATGTGCCATGAGCGGGGGAGAACGGGCCAGGCCATTTCAGAACCTGCAGGAGGAGGCTTCTGGGATGGAGAGTTGGTCCTTTCCTCCCAACCCCGAAGAAGGGGAGCCGCCCACCTTCCGACTGCAGCTTGCGAAGAGGGAGCCCCGGCGAGCCCAGGGCCCCCGCTGCGGCCGAACGGAAGTTGGGAGGCAACATCTCAGCGGAGTCGGGGCTGACGCCTCGGAGGTCCTTCTCTCGGAACATCTTCCGCCAGGATGGGGAGCGGCTGAAGGACTTGGCGCTGTCCTAGGTACGGGAGCCGGGCATCCGGTGTGGGACCAGGGCCGGCCCGGTTCTGACCCCGCCCCTTCCTTGGACTCCACCCCTTCCGTATTTCTCCGCTTCTTCCCACCCCGCCCCTATCCTGGCCCCGCCTCCAATCCCGACTCTGGGCAGCCAAGCCCCACCCCCTTCAGCTCCCACCCTGCCCACACGCGCGCACTCACACCCACACGCGCGCACCCACACCCACACGCGCGCGCACGCCCTGTCCTCCCCAGGGTTTCTCCGATCCTCAGCCCCAAGCTTCCTTCCTGGGAATTCCCCTTCGGGAATGACATCCAGCCCGAATCCTCGCCGGTTTCCCTCCCTTTCCCGCAGGTTCGTCCAAGGTGCCCCAGATGACACAGGGCGAGCGCACTTCCCACCCTGGAAAGAGGGTGCGAGAGCAATCCCTTCCACGCCCGGAGGAGAGAGTTGGCATATTAGAGCGGCCCATGTGCCATGAGCGGGGGAGAACGGGCCAGGCCATTTCAGAACCTGCAGGAGGAGGCTTCTGGGATGGAGAGTTGGTCCTTTCCTCCCAACCCCGAAGAAGGGGAGCCGCCCACCTTCCGACTGCAGCTTGCGAAGAGGGAGCCCCGGCGAGCCCAGGGCCCCCGCTGCGGCCGAACGGAAGTTGGGAGGCAACATCTCAGCGGAGTCGGGGCTGACGCCTCGGAGGTCCTTCTCTCGGAACATCTTCCGCCAGGATGGGGAGCGGCTGAAGGACTTGGCGCTGTCCTAGGTACGGGAGCCGGGCATCCGGTGTGGGACCAGGGCCCGGTTCTGACCCCGCCCCTTCCTTGGACTCCACCCCTTCCGTATTTCGCCGCTTCTTCCCACCCCGCCTCTCGTCCAGGGCCAGCAGCGCCCCGTGCACCCCGCTCTCCGTGAGGTTCGTGGCAAATTCCTTCAGTCCCAGTCCGGACACCCAGCCCATGACCCGCTCATTGGACCACACCATCACATCTGGGGACCAAAGGAACCCTCAGCTGCAGGCCCGTCCAATGTAGCCCATCCCTTCACCCTCTTTCCTGGCCATGCCTCCTATACAGGCTCCACCCCATGGCTTATGGTAGCGCTTTTCTTTCCCCGCCTCCCTCCCCTTGTCTTTCTCCAGACCCTGCCCCAAACCTCGCCACCCGGCTCCCACAGGGACTCTTACCCCCTTCTACTCACCTCGGATCTGGGTCTGGCTCTCTTCCCGCCTCCGCTCCAAGTCTTTCCGGTCATAGTTGAGCCGTTTCAGGCACATGATCCCGTAATGCAGACTCACCCTGAGCGGCAGGGGAAGCGGGGTCACAGGGGAGCCTTCACAACCCCAGTGACCGCTGCCCCCGTTGGGCCCTCCCCACCGCCTGGTCTTCTGGGAGAGGCCAGTGTTGTTCTATGGCAGCGGTTCTCAACCTGCAAATTATTTTCGTTGCTACTTCATCACTGTCATGTTGCTACTGTGATGAATCGTCATGTAAATATCTGATGTGCAGGAGGGTCTTAGGCGACCCCTGTGAAAGGGTCGTTCGACCGCCAAAGGGGTCGCGACCCACAGGTTGAGAACCGCTGGATAGGATGGAGCTGGAATAATCAGGCCTGGATTGGCTAGTCTGAAGGCCAGAGGCGGGGCCTTGGGGCGGCAAGGGCTGGGATTGGCCACTGGACACTCACTGTGCGGGAGGAGGCGGGAGCAGAGGGCGAGGTGAGGGAGACCATCTCCTGGATGGCGAGGCGCAGCTTGAGCCGGTGCAGCTGAAAGGGCCAGAAGGTTGAGAACCACTGTTCTATTGGGTCAGTTCAAGTGATTGCCGACCTCAAAGCTGGGGTACTTTCAACAGGCAGTTCCTATTCGCAAACCTGGAGGGGGGGGTGGGGTCAGCTAGCCAAGCTGCCTCAGAATTTGGACTCTCCCTAGTGGGCCATCTTATTGACGGAAGGGGCACGGGGTCGATTTCCGGAGAATCCCTCACCAGTCCCACTGGTCCAGACTCCGCAGGAGTGTGCCCCCCCACCCCCCCCCCCTGCCTGTCCCGCCGGCGGCAGCCCCACCTGTGGAAGCTGTCCACCATCTTCAGCTGGCCACGGAGCTCCTTCTTGTTGAGGTGGTCCAACATGCGGGCGTCCACCAGCGACTCCATGAAGTAGCTGCGGTACTGGGGCAGCCCCAGGCTGGGCAGCCAGTCGTTGCCCACCCACTCGTGGTTCATGTCGCCATACGCCAGGATCTGGGGCCATGGGCAGGTGGGGGGGGGCGGTCAGGCCCTCGAACCCCTTCCCATGTATGTATGCAAGGGGACAGTCTACCCCCCAACCCAAGGTCATGCTTTTCCACCCCAGAGCCGGACAGTGGACCGATCCAATGGTGTCCCCTGTTCCGTCAGAAGGACAGGACAGAGCCGTGTCTACTCAAGTGTAGTCCTTGGACCCACAGCATCACTAGCGCCTGCGAATTTGCTGGGATTGCAGACTCTCAGGCCCAGGCTCCTGACTGAATCAGAACCTGCGTTCTCACAAGATCCTC